TAAAGACTGCACAAAATCATTACTATTTTTAAAACCACATGATCTATAAATTGCAACAACAACCGTATCACCATTGACTTTCACCAACAAACAATTTGCTTCCAATAGGTTTGGTTCCTCTACCTTGAAATTCAAAGCATTTTTGACATAAACAACAACTCTGTCACTTTTATTGTAATAGTCAGTTATGGCAAATGCTTTGTATCCATCCAACCGAGGCAGATTTATGTTAGAGTGACAGGATAATCAACATTCTGATAAAACCAAAATATCACAGTCAATCATATACTCCCCTTTTACGTTGTTCTGGAAAATGTACACACTGCACATGGAATTCCCTAGTTGGAGACCACGTAATTGGTGTAATTGTCTGGCATATTATAATCGTTACTAATTAAAGAATAACTAATCTTAACGTGCTTTACATAAACTATACACCGTCAAGTTAACTTACTTACACTATGTTCAAATTTGTCACAGTAGATTTCGGAAAACCTCATTGGTCGTACCTTCCAATTATTCTGCAATAACTGTAACTAACCGTAGTTACAGGCACGTGAGATTTGTCAACTTATTTCTCAGGGTGACGAGCACAAAGGTAGCGCCTCTCAGATCTTTGTAATTTAAAGCACTGGCACTGCAACGATTATAGACAGGAGTGTAGTTTACCATTTGGTGCACTACTTGTTCCTCCCGTCCTTTGATGTTATAAAAAAGAGTAAATTTCTCACGACAAAATAAATAAATTACAATAATCCATAAGCTTTAGAGAATAGTTCCTAGTAGAACTGCTAGTAATATAAAACAAATAAATTACATGGTTGTTATAATTATTAATACAAAGATCGAACACAGAGAAAAACTCAGAAAGAAAACAACGAAAGACACGGCTTCGAGTCCTGTCACTTCGAAGGAATGTTTTCCTAACAAACTAGTGGGCTAATTTCACAAAAACATATAGTGGTAAAACAGCATTATATTTAATAAAATTAATATAACAATATATGGTTGTTTCATTATTTGCTTGAATAATGAGACGGGCTAATAAATGTGTCTCCTTAATAGACTAGAGTTTAATAATACCAACATTATAGCGCTAGTCAACAAGGATTTCCAAAATTGGCAGAGGTGCTACGCTCTATAATAAAAATATTTTGTTGAATGACCGCGACATTGTGGAACATTGGAAAAGGTACATCGAGGAACTGTACTCGGGATAAGGATTGGATGAAACATGAAGATCTAGTGCAAGAAGACAAAAATGGCCCAGCTATATTAAAGGAAGAGTTCATGAAGGCTTTAAAAGGTATTCAAAACGGCAAAGCAGCAGGAGATGATAAAATTCACATTGAAATGATTAAATATTCTGATTGCGACCTCTTAATAGACGAAACATTTAATTTAATTCAAGAAATGTACATGACAGGACAAATACCAAATGATTTTCAGATTACTAAAACTGTTACTCTACCTAAAAAACTAAACACACTCAAATATGAGGAACATACAACCCTTGGTATAATTTCGCATTCCAGCAAAATTCTCTTAAAAATAATTCAGATTCGAATAACATCAATAGCCGAACAATACCTCGGGTCAGACCAATACGGTTTCAGACAAAATAGAGGCACACAGGCTGATGCCTAAACTAGGATAGGATAAGTTTTTTTTTTTCAGTATTTCTTCTATCAAACTTCTCTACTACTAAACTCTTGAATAATAATTAGAGATATGTGTATTATAATAATTAGAGATATGTAAATAATCTGTTCAAATCGGATCTCAACAATCTTCAAAATGTTATCAAGTCTCTTTTGACGTCTCAGGCCTTACACAAGTGTGTAAGGCCTTTGTAAGTACAAAAGTGTTTTATGCATTATTTGAGAATACACATACACGAGGGTCATGCCAAAAGAAATTAGACACTCTTTCCTCATTTTTTTGATATTGGCAGGTTATAAACCGTCGTTTAAGCAGGTTATTTGCTAATAAATTTGAAAATGGAACACCTCTCAAATCGAATTACTTTTTTTTCGGAGAAAATCTGGCGGGAATTTGTTTGCGACAATGAAGATCACACGACGTGCTTTTCGTGTTATGATTATTATTATGACTACAAAAAAGGTTTAAAGCTACAACGGTTTGTACTTTTACTCACAGCTTTTGGTGAATCTGCTTGTTCACGAGGGTGACGTCTACGCTACTTAGTATAGGGATAGCTCAATAAAACAACGTTTGTTTACTACTTACGCACGCATATTAATTTGCACTACTAACCTTAATTAAAGTAATGTAAACATAAAATAATTTCATTGTTTGCGACAATTTGGCGCATATATGTAAATAATAGGTTATTTAATAAGATTTATGTATGTATTTAGGTTAAAATTTTATACAGAAATAAATTTATCTTTATCTTATCTTTATCTTTATTTATTTATCGTGCAATATATGTATACATGGTAACATACTTGAATATTTAAATAATACAAATTGCCACGGAAATTAGGTAGTGAACACAAGTCCGAGATTGGCCGTTTTGAGGTCATTCTGAATCAGGCGCAAGTAAGCGATATTGCTTAAATTAAATTAAAATTTGTAAAAAGCTTTTTTTTTAGGGATGGTACAAGACTATTCCAACGCTCCCTTGTCGAGACAGTAGTCTTGGTGGCCTAGAGAAGTAAATATTAGTTGCCTTTAAGGCTAAAACCTATTTAACACAAATAAGCTCTAAATAAGGCAGTGATTAGATCGCTACTATATGAATTTAGCAATTCCAATAAATGATTTCAATTACATTCATTCAATAGGTGACATGGTGACAACACAAGTAGGTATACGACATGTGTATATTCTATTGCTAAAATGTTTTGATTGGTGTCAATTAATTACAAATTGGATTTATAGAACGAATAATGGATTTACACTCATGCATGCATAATAGACGAAACTTGCGATATTTTAGAGAACCACCTTTTCTCTTTTCGGGCGACTAGACTTTTCGGTGTGTCTCATTAATAACACAGCGACAACATATTTAATATACTTTTAAATGTATGGACCATGATCGTTTGAACCAATTCAGAAACGGACTTAATCGAAAACACACTCGCGGATAAGGCAAACGTGTGTCGCCCTTGCAATGCTCATTAGTGGCTGTTTATTGTGTGTCAGGTAGACCCACACCCAATCAATGGCCCATATTTTGCGAATAGCGATTGGGCGACGCCATTCCATGCTTTAATGGTTTATGCTTACACACATATCGAGAATGATTTAATAAGACTACGTTTACTTCGTAAACAACATTCATGTTATTTTTTTCCGCACTATGTTCAATAGCATATAAGCACTGTTTAACTGTTAAACACTACATACGATATAATAGCTGCAAGTATAGATATATTATTATGCGTAGAATATTCTTATTCGCATACATTGTAGATACATTAAAAAAAAATAGACACACGCTTGGTCACGATTACACCCGATCTTAAGCGACGATGTGATCGACATCGAAAAATGCCTATTTACTCTTGCCTATATACATTACCGGGGAATGGAATGGAAATTTCATAATGTCAATTGTGTAATATACAAACTAGATACGAGACTACATAGAATTCTCAAGACAAAGCGAGAACTTTCCGATAGACGCGCGACCTGGTGTTCGGCTCGTATATAGTTTGTACTTACGTTACACAAGTGACAAAGTTTATTATGTTATGTACTACTTCGTTACAAAAACACTTCACTTCACTTCCGTTCCATTCCGCGCCTGTGTAAATTGAGTTCGAGATATGTAATATTGAGCCTTAATGTCAATTTCAATATAGTAGTATTTCTAATAATATAAATAAAATATGTACGAGCACTGTCTATGTTTTGTTTGTTAATTTTTTGGAAAGAGGTAATAATCACAAAGTGCTAGGTCAGGGGAATATGGCAGAAGTGAGTCAACTTTACGCCGCTCCACACATCTGGCATCACTGTCAGAGGAGATGGAACATTCCTGACTTCGGCCGCTTGACACACCAATAATTTTTTCGACAGCTTGAAGTTTTTCATGAGTAATCGCACATGGCCGCCAACCAGACATCGAATCATATTCAAAACTTCCTCGTCTTCTTTTAAATTCAGCAAACTAATTTAAAACTGTTGCTCGTTGTGGTGTATGGATAAAATGTGCCATAGACAACATCGGTTTTTCCGTTCCTTCTATTACGAGCATGTACTCGTAAACTACTACTAGACAGTGGTGTGAGCGGACGTATTGTATGCGTGCGTAAGTAGTAAACAAACGTTGTTTTATTGAGCTATCCCTGTACTAAGTAGCGTAGACGACACCCTCATGAACAAGCAGATTCACCAAAAGCTGTGAGTAAAAGTACAAACCGTTCTTGTAGCTTTAAACCTTTTTTGTAGTCATAATAATAATCATAACACGAAAAGCACGTCGTGTGATCTTCATTGTCGCAAACAAATTCCCGCCAGATTCTCTCCGAAAAAAAAGTAATTCGATTTGAGAGGTGTTCCATTTTCAAATTTATTAGCAAATAACCTGTTTAAACGACGGTTTATAACCTGCCAATATCAAAAAAATGAGGAAAGAGTGTCTAATTTCTTTTGGCACGAGCTCGTGTATGTGTATTCTCAAATAATGCATAAAACACAGTTTTGTACTTACACACTTGTGTAAGGCCTGAGACGTCAAAAGAGACTTGATAACATTTTGAAGATTGTTGAGAGCCGATTTGAACAGATTATTTACATATCTCTAATTATTATAATACACATATCTCTAATTATTATTCAAGAGTTTAGTAGTAGAGAAGTTTGATAGAAGAAATTATTATTTTAGATTTAGAACAACGCATTTAGAGTGTTGCTGGGGTTGCCGCGGTACTGCAGCGCATCAGGCATGTTCGCAGAGCTCACACAGATGGCTTTCATGCTATTCTTAGAAAGAGAGCTGCCTCGTTGCTAAGCCGTATCCGTGGCAGCTCAAATAACGTTCTTCGCGTTGTGCCTGGTAGGTTTGACTGCCCGATCATGCTTCATTGCATGAGACTGCATTTGCCTTCAATTTGAGGACTGTTTTTATTTATATTTTGTTTTTCAGATTGGTAGATTGATGGGATTCCATGTATAATTGTGTAGCTATTACAAGATTATGGACGTATCTGTGTGAAATAAATGAATTTAGATTTTGATTTAACCTCTCCCATAGCCTAAAGGATTTATTTTGAATTTTTTTATTATTATTATCTGGTTAATATTTCTCTCAACCAGTCGGTTTTCTAGTAAATGCAGTATGGTGTGTCTATGTCGAGGGTAATAAGAGCCTATTTCGTACTCTTCCATCTGCATGAACTTTATGATTATTATTTTGGATATCTATTTTAGACTCTCTCCTCTCCATGGCCTAAAAGTTATTTTTTATGGAGAATTTTTAAATGGGAGAGGCGGTATTCGCTGGCAATGACACATTATTATTATTGCTATTATTTCAGAACCCAAAAAATTCCGATGTGTTTAAAAAAGTAAAATTTACCATTTCGATATTTGGTTGGATAGAGGATTGAAACCCCTGCATTTATGAAATAACAAGCCAACACAATCTTATTTCAACATTGTACACATATGTGCGAGCGTGTGAATAGTTGAAATACGCAAAATTAACTGCCAACGCCTGGCAGTACCTTGTACTTAGAGTGATTTAATTTATACCAGTTAGTTACATGGTTTCGTTCGAATATGTTTAGCTTTATCAAACTGGTAATTTATTGTAGCCGACGTTGCTCCACCTTGATGCCTAAATTGATTTGCACATATGGGATTTTAATTGACTGTAACTCAGAAACTTTAATTTGACCACTACAAACACTTTTTTATCTTTCACAAAAGAAATTTATACTTATATATAACTATTATGGGCCTCAAATGTTATTGAATATAATTTCGTAAGCGAAAGTTGTCTATACCAGGATTAACCTGTGTTATAGAGCACTAGGTTCTCACCCTTCCACTTCTAAGCAGACGTGGGAAAGATAGCTTTATGACAAACAAATATGTGTACTTAATTAAACAATTATAAAATAAAACAAACGATATCTGCGTTCACTGTACTTTAAATATTTATTTACGAAATAACAAATCAGTATGACGACCTCGGTGGCCCAACGGTTTGCACTATGACGAGGAGGTCCCGAATTCAATTCCTCGTAGGGTCGATTACGAAAAGTTCATTTGTAACTTTTCTAAACTGGTTCTGGGGGTCTACTCCCTCACTTTGTCCGAAATCCGTCCGAAACAATTACTACTGTCAAATAAGTAATACTCGATAAAATTATAAAAGACGCGTGATGCGAATAAAACTTGATACGTGACCTTTTTTTGGTCAAGTATTACTTATTTGGTTGTAACTACTTGACAGATAGGTGGCAAAGAGTTAGGGTGGATGAGGTAATTAGTCATGACCTGCCCATAGCTTACGGCGTTCCGCAAGGAACTGTTTTGGGCCCCACACTATTCCTCGCCAACATAAACGACCTCTGTAATCTCCAGCTCCATAACGGAAAAATAGTAACGTTTGCCTGCAATGATATTGCTCAGATTGGCTTCACCTTAGTTTATTCCTGGCTCAA